CCCTAATGCAATGTGTAGGACGGCCCATTTCATGTAAGTCAATGGGGCAATTTTGGGCCGCTCCTGCCCCCCAGGGGTGCAACTATTCCCCCACTGTGAGGTATTTTCTTACAGAGCCTGTCAGCCTCTTCAAATGTGGTACATTACAAGTTTCTAAGAAATCAGCAATATTTAGTATTGCACGAGGCCTGCGGCCTCGTGCCTATGGCCTACGGTTGCTAAGGTGCTGTAACTGGTTGCTATGGTGTGAATTTAGAGTTTATGAGTTTAGAGTTTATAAGTTTAATTGAGTAAGTGTCCAGAGTTTATTCATTTATGAGTTTAATAGTTTTATGAGAGTTTATAAGAGTATGAGTTTATGAATTTAGAGTTTATGAGTTTAGAGTTTATAAGTTTAAATGAGTCTAAGAGAGTTTAAGTTTAGAGTTTATTAATTTATTGTGAGTTTAAGAGTTTAAGATTAGATAGATAAGTGTCATAGATAGATGAGTTCATTAGTTTAAATGAGTTTCAATGGCTCATATAGTGTATAGAATGACAGTTTGATTGAGTCTGGGGCTTCAAGGTATTTAGATTTGAATTTTGACAGTTGGGCAGTTTGAACAGCTGAAGATTCCACAATGTTAAGTCAATGGGAGTTTTTTCCGACTTTGATCGTCATTTTTAGGAGAACCGTAAGTCCGATCAGTTAGAAAAGATATAGCAACGCGAGTCAGAACAGTTTGAGTGTCCGTGCCGAGTTTGGAGTATGTGGAGTTAAAGCTCTAGGAGGAGATAGAGTTGTAAATTTCCTGAGTAAGAAGAATAATAATAATAATAATAATAAGTTTAAATAGAATTTCAGTAAGTTGGCTCTCACAAGCCAACTTAATAATAATAAGTTTAAATAGCATTTCAGTAAGTTGGCTTTCCCAAGCCAACTTAATAATAATAAGTTTAAATAGCATTTCAGTAAGTTGGCTTTCCCAAGCCAACTTAATAATATTAACATAATCATCTTGAAGAGAGTTTTCATCGTTGCCGAACGCGACGCGCTGTGTTGTTTTAATGCTGAATGGAGAATGACTGACAGCGGAGGCAAAAGTTTACGTGAACATGAATTTAATGACTTAAACATTTAAAAACATTAATTTCTCTCTCACATTATACTACAGTATGGCTTCATATTATGAGTTTTTGAACTCAACCTGAGCGCTCGTTGCCACGGCGATCAGTGGATGCAGAGTTCTCTGTAGCTCGCGCAGTCTTTACTCGGACGTGCGCTTCCGTCGCGGACAGACTCTATTCTTTACGGGTTGATCAGAGAGGCTGCACAGTTCCACAAGCAGACAGGTACACACATTGCAGATGGATTGCTAGTAGGGATGTCAATTTTCACAAATTCCCATGATCGATCGTCGTTCAAATTAACGATCAATTAATCGATTAATCGTTAGCCTTAATACAGCAATGTGTGTCGCTGCAGTGGCATACGGCCAACAGCAGAACAGGGTCTGCAATGCTGTAGGGCTGTCAACTTTAGTCGTTTAGTCGACTAATCGGTCGATGCCGTCTTGGTCGACTGACATTCTTATTGGTCGACCAGTTGCATTTTTTTTTTTACCAATAGAAAGAATTTTTCAATGATTTACGCCTTGATATTTATTCATTTATAAGCAGTTATTTATTACTGTATTCTAAATATAATTAGCCTATGTTTTGTCCCCAACTTTAAAATGCTTTAATTTAGGTTATTTTTGTAACTGCGCCACAGTTTAGCGCACACACATAATACACTCGGGAACCGCACCTGTGGCTGGCTGCGCTGCTGCTCACGCTCGGTAAGGGATGCTGTATTCATTCAGTTAGAACGCTGCTTGTTTTGGCTTTAGTCGACAAAATGTCCAGGAAATCTAAATCTTTTGTCTCGCTGCGTTTTAAAACAAAGACGGCAAGACTGTGGAGGGAGGCGATCGCGTTGCTCCATTATGAGCGCGCAAGTCGCGCGCCTACATTTGAAATCGAACTTGAGCGCGCAAAAGACGCGAGCAGCCTTTTAACGGCTATATCATGCTGACTCAATAGATTGTGTTTTCTTAATGTTTTCGTTTTTATTTGTACACTTGACGCATTTGAAAATAGCCTAAATAATGCGACAAAACGAAAATAAACCTATACGCGGTCCTACAGCCTATTATTAGGATTGTTTTTAAGTTATTTGGGTTTTTTGTGTGTTGTTTAAAACGCCTTGATCGTCAGGACTAAAGTTAACCCATAGCTTTGAAAGTAAAGAAGAATATAAAGCCTGTATAAACGAGAGCTTTTGTTGGGATTTTTCATTATGTGGCTGATAGCAGTTAGGCTATATTTTTTTGCAGTGTGTGGTGTGGTCAGGTGCGCGATTGTGACTGTTACTATAGACCGAGGACAGAGCTCTTCACTTTTTGCAGTTAAAAAAAAAATCACTTAATTTTCAAAGAATTGTATTATTATTATTATAGTTTTATTTATTTGTGATGTTTTTTCATTGTTGTTTTATAAATGCTCAATGACAATTGTTTAAAAAATGTTTAATCAAAACATCACGTTTTCTTTTTTTTTTTCTTTTCTTTTTTTTTTAGTCGACTAATCGTTGAGCAGGACTCGACTTTGGTCGACTAAGGATTTCTTTGGTTGAATACAGCCCTACAATGCTGCTCAAAACGCTATGTTCCTTAACAATTTAATGAGAATGTTTTTTTAATCTAAATAAAAGGCTAGTGGGATTGTAAAACGTTTCGATGTGATTGATAATTAAGTTAATTATTTAATAATCAAATAAAACGACTATATAACGCGTCACCAACTGCCTCAGATGCACTTGTCAGAATGTGTGACTGTTGTGGACGTGCTCTTCCTGGGACAACGCACTGGAAACGGCAACTAAACCTAATGATTTCACAACGAATTAATAAAATAGTGTTCTCATGTTATGTAATACGACAGTCCCATATTAATCATCGTTATTATTAGTCGTGCATTCTGCTTGAGCGGCGCGCGCTGTATGCATAACCTTTGAACACTTTGCTAGCACGTTATTTAACTCCTCTTATTTGATATTAATCAGATATATACAAAATAAACATAATATTACAGTTTATATCTGCACAAAATGACGTGAACTTGAACTAATTACGTGCCATTCAGAATGACTCAAGTTGTGGACGCGCTTTTCCTGGAACAACGCGACATGGCAACTCAACCCAAATAATTCACAATGTTTTATTACAATATTATTTTCTTTATCATGTTATGTAATATGAAAGTCCAAATAGTCATTATTAGTCGTACATCGACGTTTGAGCAGCACGCGCTAAAGATCATCATGCTTTATTAGCGTCAATTCTTAACCAAATAGCCTACATCCAATGAGATAAAGCAGATATAAATAGGCGTACACAAAATAAACTATAACTTATATTTGCACAAAACAAAAGGCTGCGAATGCACACGGCAACTTACTGTCATGATGAAGGTGGAAAACGGTCCCAAACATAACTCCGGCGCGCTCGGTTACATGTTTCGCGATTGAGCAGCACATGAATATGCACGCGCATGCTTAATCGATGATCGATACGTTTTATCGATTAAATGTATTATCGACAATTAATCGATCGTCGATTAATCGTTGACATCCCTAATTGCTAGTGAATTGCTTTTTCACACACCTTGTACAATTGCCAGACAGCTGAAGCCATTTTTACCAGGGCATAAAAAAATTGTCTCGCGAGTTTTGCGTCATCTGATCGGCTTTTCTGGATCGGCCTTTATAGAGACCGCCGATCACGCATCCCAAAGCAATTATCGGTCGATTGTGATCGGCGACCGATCAATCGGAGCACCCGATCAGTTTCAGTTTTTATGTCCCAGTGACCAGTGAAAGTGCAGTTCTGACTCTCTGCTTATTCATTTATATAGGAGCCTGGTCTTGTTAGTTCGAAATAGCTGCCCAGAGGCGTTGCCAAGATGGCGGCTAAGTGGCACGACTTGCCAAAAAAGACTTTGTTGACGCTCACGCGCTGCTCCTGCTCCCGGTGTGATTGCACTCATTGATTAACATGCAAGCCGAAAAAAATATGCTCCACTCACGCTTGTGTAAATAAGGGGTGAAACGGGCGTAATGTGCATGTGATACTGATGTTGCGCGACGTTAATCATGCAGCGCCCGATTGCATTTGACCGGCATATGTCAGACTGACCGGCCAGTCATGGCCGATCACGTGAAAATAGTCCGGTTCCGGTCAAGTCAGTCGGTACATCTCTAGTAGTCAATGAATGATATAAACTGGGTTAAGATAATGTATTTTAACATAGAACATTTTTACATCTCCTTTGATGAAACCGCAGCCTTTGATTTAATGATAATCATGATTTGATCACCATTTCAGTATAATTGTGCAGCCCAATTTGTTTATTTAATTAGCTTTTCATACCTACCTTTTGGGAAACCCTGTTCCAAAGCCCAGAGGAATAAAATATTATTTTTAAAACTCACATTTTACTTCTAAAAGTATTATTTTTTTCCTTCATTATGGAATAATGACAAGTTTCCAAGACACAACCCATGAATGGCATACTAATAGTGGTCAATGAATGATAAACAGCATTAAGATCATGTATTTAACATAGAAAATTGTAAATTCTACTTTAAAATTGCAGCTTTTGATTTGATAATTGTGTAGCCCAATCCGTTTATGTTAATTTTACGTTTGATTTAAAAATGTATTAGCTTTTGATCAACTCCTATTTGGAAAACCCTGTTCAAAGGCCCAGATGAATACATCCTTACTTACACAAATATACACAAAACTACTGAACAACAATTGAAGAACAACACCAATCAGTGCAGCTAATTGCAGACGAACCAGCTGGAATCTACCTCGCCCTGCATAGTTCAAACAAGTGGAAAAACAAACGACGGTGGAAAAACAAAGTCGTCACACCCACTTATCCAAGCAGACACAAATATTCTGCGAACACACCTTTTATGTCCCTGTGGATTTTCTTCTCACAGTGCAGGTAGTCCAAACCCTTTAAAATCTCTTTCAGCATGGTGGCTATCTGGTATTCGTCAAAGGGTCCGGCTCGCAGCTGCACACACACACACACACACACACACACTAGGTTGAGTGTTTAGGGCACATGACAGGCAGGATCAGCTGTATGCTGTAGCTGTGGAGACTCCATGATAAAGGCGAAGGGCTTACCAGGTCCAGAGCCGAACCCCCTCCCAGATACTCCATTATGATCCATAGTTTACTACCCTAAAAGAAAAACAACAGACAATTAGCTAAAAACTCAGGGGAAGGAAACCTCTTTTTTTCTGACTGAGGGCGTAGTTTATAATATATTGGTATATATCACAGTCCTTGGTGCATTTTGAATCAGACACTACTGAAAAATATCATTTGTGACCTCAGTAAGGGCTCTGATTCACTGACTGAGTCTGATTCACAAGCGAGTTTGAGGCCGTTTCATGAATCTTTTTGACCGGCGTTCAGTTGTTTATACAGGAAACACTGGGCAAGCATCTAAATGACATGATATCTGATGAACATCTTTTTTTTTAAATGAGAAAAGCAACTGTAATGTGATTATCATATGAAAAATCTCTGGCATTTACAAAAAAAACAAAAAACAATTAACAACCTATTATTAGTTTGTTGACAACAAGTTTATATTTGAAAAATTATATACAATGTATAGCATAGACTTTTTTCATCCACGTTTGGTAGAGCTGATCAAAGGTATTACTGATTGGTTAATTAGATTGAATATCCCCAACTGAGCAAGCCAAAGGCAACAGATGCATGGAGCCGAAAAAATGCCATCAGGCGGCCCAAAGGTGTCCTAAAACTCCATCAGGCGACCCAATGGTGTCCTAAAACTCCATCAGGCGACCCAATGGTGTCCTAAAACTCCATCAGGCGACCCAATGGTGTCCTAAAACTCCATCAGGCGACCCAATGGTGTCCTAAACCTCCATCAGGCGACCCAATGGTGTCCTAAACCTCCATCAGGCGACCCAATGGTGTCCTAAAGCTCCATCAGGCGGCCCAAAGGTGTCCTAAAACTCCATCAGGCGACCCAATGGTGTCCTAAAACTCCATCAGGTGACCCAATGGTGTCCTAAACCTCCATCAGGCGACCCAATGGTGTCCTAAAGCTCCATCAGGTGACCCAATGGTGTCCTAAACCTCCATCAGGTGACCCCCTAAACCTCCATCAGGTGACCCAATGGTGTCCTAAACCTCCATCAGGCGACCCAATGGTGTCCTAAAACTCCATCAGGTGACCCAATGGTGTCCTAAACCTCCATCAGGCGACCCAATGGTGTCCTAAACTCCATCAGGCGACCCAATGGTGTCCTAAACTCCATCAGGCGACCCAATGGTGTCCTAAAACTCCATCAGGTGACCCAATGGTGTCCTAAAACTCCATCAGGTGACCCAATGGTGTCCTAAACTCCATCAGGCGACCCAATGGTGTCCTAAAGCTCCATCAGGTGACCCAATGGTGTCCTAAACCTCCATCAGGTGACCCCCTAAACCTCCATCAGGTGACCCAATGGTGTCCTAAACCTCCATCAGGCGACCCAATGGTGTCCTAAAACTCCATCAGGTGACCCAATGGTGTCCTAAACTCCATCAGGCGACCCAATGGTGTCCTAAACTCCATCAGGCGACCCAATGGTGTCCTAAAACTCCATCAGGTGACCCAATGGTGTCCTAAAACTCCATCAGGTGACCCAATGGTGTCCTAAACTCCATCAGGCGACCCAATGGTGTCCTAAACCTCCATCAGGTGACCCCCTAAACCTCCATCAGGTGACCCAATGGTGTCCTAAACCTCCATCAGGCGACCCAATGGTGTCCTAAACTCCATCAGGCGACCCAATGGTGTCCTAAAACTCCATCAGGTGACCCAATGGTGTCCTAAAACTCCATCAGGTGACCCAATGGTGTCCTAAACTCCATCAGGCGACCCAATGGTGTCCTAAACCTCCATCAGGTGACCCCCTAAACCTCCATCAGGTGACCCAATGGTGTCCTAAACTCCATCAGGCGACCCAATGGTGTCCTAAACTCCATCAGGCGACCCAATGGTGTCCTAAAACTCCATCAGGTGACCCAATGGTGTCCTAAAACTCCATCAGGTGACCCAATGGTGTCCTAAACTCCATCAGGCGACCCAATGGTGTCCTAAACCTCCATCAGGTGACCCCCTAAACCTCCATCAGGTGACCCAATGGTGTCCTAAACCTCCATCAGGCGACCCAATGGTGTCCTAAAACTCCATCAGGTGACCCAATGGTGTCCTAAACTCCATCAGGCGACCCAATGGTGTCCTAAACTCCATCAGGCGACCCAATGGTGTCCTAAAACTCCATCAGGTGACCCAATGGTGTCCTAAAACTCCATCAGGCGACCCAATGGTGTCCTAAAACTCCATCAGGTGACCCAATGGTGTCCTAAACTCCATCAGGCGACCCAATGGTGTCCTAAAACTCCATCAGGTGACCCAATGGTGTCCTAAAACTCCATCAGGCGACCCAATGGTGTCCTAAACTCCATCAGGCGACCCAATGGTGTCCTAAAACTCCATCAGGCGACCCAATGGTGTCCTAAACCTCCATCAGGTGACCCCCTAAACCTCCATCAGGTGACCCAATGGTGTCCTAAACCTCCATCAGGCGACCCAATGGTGTCCTAAAACTCCATCAGGTGACCCAATGGTGTCCTAAACCTCCATCAGGCGACCCAATGGTGTCCTAAACTCCATCAGGCGACCCAATGGTGTCCTAAAACTCCATCAGGCGACCCAATGGTGTCCTAAAACTCCCTCATATGACCCAATGGTGTCCTAAAACTCCATCATACGACTCAATGGTGTCCTAAAACTCCATCAGGCGACCCAATGGTGTCTTAAAACTCCCTCATGTGACCCAAAGCTGTCCTAAAACACCATCAGGTGACCGATTAGTTTTAGAGAGCCCAGGCTCAGTCGGGGCCAGTTCTCTTCTGGTGTTTATGAACTAGAGGCCAGATTCACAGTAACTGTAAGATAAAAATGTATATAAATGTCTCTAAACAGACTTTAAACGCAAACTTGTGATAAACACTGATGGCGTTCACATGCGCATTAAAAACTGATTCTATAGCTATGTGTGTTTGAATATATGTGCGCAGGTTTGTAAATCCCTACAAAACTAAGCCTGAACTTATATATGAGTGTGTGTGTTTGTGCGTGGGTGTGTGTATATATGATTCAGCATCCATATCACCCTGTAGCCCAAGACTGGTCACCCACTGAAGCCGAGTAGGGTTGAGTCTCCTGGGAAAACCAGGTTGCTGCTGGAGATGTTAGTGAGGCCAGCAGGGGGCGCTCACCCTGTGCTGTGTGTAGGTCCTAATGCCCCATTATAGTGACGGAGACACTATACAGTCAAAGAGCACCGTCCTTCGAATGAGACGTTAAACCAAGGTCCTGACTCTCTGTGGTCATTAAATCCCATGGCACTTGAAGTAAAAGAGTAGGGGTGTAAGCCCGGTGTCCTGGCCACATTCCCTCCATTAGCCCTAGCCAATCATGGCCTCCTAATAACTGAATTGGCTCTATCATTCACTCTCCTCTCCACCTATATCTGGCGTGTTTGAGTGCACTGATGCCATTGTGCTGTGGCTGTCGTCGCACCACCCAAGTGGATGCTCACACTGGTGTGGATTGAGCAGAGATCCCCTGATATGATTGTAAAGCGCTTTGGGTGAACTGTAGTATATGAAAGCGCTATTTAAATGCCTCATTCATTCATAGCATACGTTCTGTCTGGCCTCCCTCCAGAAATACAGGTATTTTGACATCGCACAAAGGGTTTGGCCATGAGTCAGCGGTAGCATCAAATCACACACACACTCACTACACACACTGACTGCAGCGCTACAACAATACTGTGGTACTCGTGAATCAAAATACCGCCAGTGCCCCATTACTGTCTGAACTGAAGCTCTGTAATTTACGGCTGTAAATATTTCCACGTGGCACTGGAGCTAAAAGAGCCCGGCGTGGATTATGATCATTTTTACTTTGCATTGTAAGGCTGATGTAAACGATTCTGCGGAATGTAATTAAACAGGCCTGAAATAAATATTAATGTGCTGTTTTATTGTTGAATAAAGTAGGCTACTCTTATTATAGTAATAAAAAAATGTGATAAGCAACATAAGAGATGCGTTACTCGTGCTGTCTTACACACACCCGAATCGCCACACAAAAAGACACCATGTGATCCTGAACTGATCGCTTTATAGCGGCGTATTGCACTGAATTACACACTGAATGATCCTAAAATCTGTCTTGACGAGTATTAGGCTTGGTGAACACTACCTTGCAAATTCGTTGGGTTAGTTCACCCACCCATGTCTCCTCCCATAATTAAAGAAATTATCCTGGCTCTTCCAAGCTTTATAATGGGAGTAAATGATACCTGAGATTTTGAAGCTCAAAAAAGCACATCCATCCATCATAAAAAAGTAATCCATACGGCTCCAGGGGTTAATAAAGGACCTCTGAAGCAAAGCCATGCGTTTTTAAAAGAAAATATCCATATTTATAACTTTATAAACTAGTGGATATTAGTGGCTTCCGGTAACGGCCATACGCAAGTGTAGTTCCAGTGGATGAATGACCTCTGACCTCCGTAGGTATTACTTTTATGATGGATGGATGTGCTTTTTTGGGCTTCAAAATCTAGGATGCCATTCACTCCCATTATAAAGCATGGAAGATCCAGGATATTGTTTAAGACAACTCCGATTGTGTTTGGCTGAAAGAAGGAACTCTTATAGAGCTAGGATGGCTTGAGGGTTATGGGTAAATTATTGGATAATTTTCATTTTTGGGTGAACTATCCCTTGAAGTAAATATGTGTGACCAATAGATATTGATAAAACATGATGTGACCTCTTTAACTGAATTAAAAGAATGCGAACTTTAAATCTTCAGGATTGCAGCGTTGCAGGAAAGTCTGTCAATTTTTACATTTCGGGTGTATTATATGTTGATTTAAAAAGTCGAGTCAGAGTGTGTCATATCACGACTGTTAGTGTATAATGAATGTTCATTTTATTTAATAAGTTTTCATTTTACTTTAAAAAAATTGAAGGCTCCATGCTGTTTTAATGTATTTTATTATCATAATTAATAATTAACATATTTGATGTTTTATTATCATCATTAATAATTAGCATATTTGATGATTTATTCTCAGATACGGTTCCAACAGTTTTTACAATGGAGCCAAAACTGGTATGTTGAACCGTGAAATTTTTCTGGTATCGACTACTGAAATTTTGGTATTGTAACAAACCTATTAGCAATGTGCTACAGCTAATGTGTGAAACAGTACAACATCAATCCATACCTTTAGGTAAGAGCCATAGTATTTGGTGACATGAGGACTATCACACTGGCTGAGAACGGTGATCTCCTGTTGGATGTCTTCGATCTCATCTTCTGCTTCCTCAAGGTCGATGGTTTTGATGGCCACTACGTTCTGAGAGCGGCGGTCGATGCCTTTAAACACCTCCCCGAACGAGCCCTTCCCGATGCGCTCCAGTTTAGTGAACAGCTCCTCGGGGTCTGTTCGACTGTTCTGCAATACAAAAGTTACACAGGGTTAGTTTGAGTTGACTAGGTTAGATAAATAGATATAAACCAGTGGCGGCTGCTGGTCTTTTAAAGAGGGGAAGCTTGTTTTCGGCCTACGTCATAAAAATTTTCCATTTATTTATACGTTAGTTACAGAAAATGCTCTGTCACCCTGTCGTAGCAACTAGGTGTCTTTTCCAGTGACTCGACCCAAGGAATGTGGTGTATAAATGTGTGAAATGTATGATGAAAATTTCACAAAGAGAAAAAAGTTTCAGCAGTTTGTCTTTCGACTACACTTGCAAAATCCGCGATGGGACTGAGCTTGAATAGCTTCAGCATCAGAGACTTTTTATAGTACAAAATCACTGTCAATCAAAAGGAGATGCAGTCTTTCAACAGACCCTCCAATCATCACGCAGAAGCCTGGAGGACAGCCCACTCCTTTACTCACCCCAGAGACGCTGAGTGTCCGTGGGCGGGACTTAATCGCAGCATTTATCCAATGACTGTCTAAGTTTCGACACACTGAAAAACCTGTTCAAAGCCGCTCCACTGAAGTCACTGGACGCCGGGCTTCAACGGGGAAATGCACTGTGACGCTACGGGAATGAATAAGAAGGAGATCGAGTCCGCAGACCTGCTATATGTAGCTAGTTCTAAACGAACTCGCCTTTGAGATGAACGTGTTAACGCATTTTTAGTTAATAAAATGTTTACACAATAGTACACATTTGAGCAGGGCTCCAGACTGTGACCAAAATTCTCATTTTTTGAGAATGTGCGAGTTAAAATTGTATGTTGTCGCATATCTGCGGCATATCTCCGTTGCATCCGCTGCTGCAGTCCGTAACTTATGTTCAAAATGAACGAGTAGGCTACATCATGAATCCATTTTCCAAACCGTGTTTTTGACTTATCCTGAGTCACTACGGTACGCCTATAATAAGTGTTTACATTCGGACTATTTTACTCGGATGCGGAGTTGTCCAGTGCCTGCGTGACTCGCCATAGACATTAAAGGGTTAGTTCACCCAAAAATGAAAATTCTGTCAGTATTTACTCTCCCTCATGTTGTTCCAACCCCGTAAGACCTTCGTTCATCTTCGCAACACAAACTAAGATATTTAAGATATTAAGATCACTCCTGCATACTAGTCCATAGGCATCTTGAGGGAATGACTCTTGCTGGTATCGAAAAGTCATTAAAGACATCGTTAAAATAGTCCAAGTGACTACAGGGGCTCAATCTTAACTTTATCAAATGACGAGAACACTTTTTGTGCGCAAAAACAAACAAAAATAACGACTTTATTTCAACTATTCACTTCCTTCTGTTAACGTAGTGTGATAGCGTAGAGCTACGTCACACGTAGGCTCACTATTGGCCGACGCTGGTCATGTGTGTGATCCGTGTGATGTACAATAACAGAAGCTTACAATAATTAAACTAGTAACCTGACTCACGCAGAGGGAGAAATAAACAAATGGTTGAAATAAAGTCGTTATTTTTGTTGTTTTTTTGCGCACAAAAGTGTTCTCGTCATTTGATAAACTTAAGATTGAGCAAGTCATTCCCTCAAGAACCCCATGGACTAGTATGGTGGAGCGATCTTAATATCTTAAATATCTTCATTTGTGTTGCGAAGATGAACGAAGGTCTTACGGGTTTGGAACAACATGAGGGTGAGTAAATACTGACAGAATTTTCATTTTTGGGTGAACTAACCCTTTAATGGAGAGAAGTAGCTCCGGCTACAGTGTTCTTCCGCAAGACACGTGCAGTTTATTTATTGACGAACGTAGACGTCACGCGCATTGCACATGAGGGTGAAACGCGCCAATTACGAATTCACGAATTAAGGCATATAAAAATGAAAATGTCTCACGAAACAGCGTGTCCCTTCCTACTTCTTTTCAGCGGTTAGATGAGAGTAATCGCTCGACTGAGGAAAAGGAAATTATTATAAAATGCAGAAGGCAAGGAGTGTGAGATTTCTGATTTTTGTTACAACTATAAACTTTGATAACAAAAAATCTGTATTAGCTTATTATAACACTCTAATCTTTTAAAATGTAATGCATACATTTGAATGTTTAATGATTTTTAAAAGATAGAAAGATGATGCTGACAGAACGATAGATAGATAGATAGATAGATAGATAGATAGATAGATAGATAGATAGATAGATAGATAGATAGATAGATAGATAGATAGATAGATAGATAGATAGATAGGATTATGATTCAAATGTAAATAGATAGCTTGTATATAATTCAAATGTAAAATCAAAATCAAATGCTGGTGCGACCAACTGAGAAAGTTGGTAGCACCAGTTCAACCAGTGGAAAAGTTAGTCTGGAGACTTGTTGACCATTAATTTTTTGACATTATAGCTTCCCTTGCAGTCTTAAAGAAATGCCCATTGGTATAAACCAAGACAAATGATAAGTTCACTTGACAATACTTTACATAACAGGTAAGTTCATGGTAATCACATACTTGTGATTTTGGGGATCCAAGTATAGTTAGAAACAAAATTGACTTAAAATATTCCACATCTGAGACAGTGATTTCTCACTTTCAAATCACGCGTTTCACTGCACAGAAAGGATTTGCAGTTGTTTAAATATATCCCTCCCCCAGTTTTATAAAAAATATAAAAGCTAATATATAAGCTTTTATAAAAGCTTAATGGAACAACTAAGATCAAAGGCAAGTCTATAAGTGTTTATAACAGAGAGACTGCCAGTGCCAATGCTACACTAGGTTAGTCAATAATATTCACAGAAACATTTGGGAGGGGAGCTCAATGAACCGAATACAAACAAGCTGTTAAATATTGCAAGAACAATTATTTCACTGGACGAGGAAGTGAATCCAACTTCCAGTCAATACTGATAACAACATAAGAGGCACATAGTAAAGTTGTGTAGTCGAGTCTGTTTATTAGCTTAAAAGTCTGCATGAAACCAAAAATGAACAATACTAGTCCTGTGTTGTGTTAAACAATACATTTGCAAGTTAATCCACAGAGAAGTAAAATCAAGCCCCGTCCTCTATTTTTCCTCATTAAAAAGTCAGTTTATCTCACTCGAACCACCTTTACCGGAGTCAGTAGTTTTACCTCCATCCCTTACACTATAGGATGTGACAGACTTTGGTTTCAATTGGAAATGCTTCAACGAAGAGCAAAACTGCACTCATCAGGCCATTTCACAAGAGAGGCTTTCAAACTACAGTGGGTTTACAGATTTTATGAAAAGCCCATTTTTGGACGCAAGGCCAAAAACATACTTTATGCAGGAACATTCGACACAGCTAATTTGTTGTGGTGGTTAAAAATAGTGCCACATTTTATACAATTGTGTGGTAAACAGCATACGGAATTTACAAGAAAGATTATAATGAGAAGTAATGCGTAACTGATTATTAAAGGGTCTTTGATAGGCACATTGGGAAGCACAGTTCACACTGTTTGTTGTTACCCATAGGCGCTGGCGATGTACTTGTAAAAACCATAGGCTATATACTGCAGGGCTCGACAATAAGGACTGTATGATTGCCCGGGGTCAGCGCGAAAGACACTCGGGCCAGCACTGCATCTTCACAGAAGTTGATCATTTGTGTATGTTTTTTAAGCCTGGCCATATTCAAGCGCAGGTAGACACCAAAGTGCCCATGTCTCTCAGTTTGGTACTCGCACCTGTGTGATAAGTTGTGTCACACCGAGCGGCAGCATTTGTTTTAAGCATGATTGACACGAAAAACACACAAAACACATCTAAAACGGAAAATCGCTTTGAGGTCATGCGCATCAGGCCATGCCCCTGTGTGATGACAAAACAATCATTTGCGCCTGTCCAATCAGAGCAGAGTAGGCCAATCACAACAGACTGGGACTGGGTCATCTGACCAATCAGAGCAGAGTAGACCAATGACAACAGACTGGGTCATCTGACCAATCAGAGAAGAGTAGACCAATCACAACAGACTGGGCCATCTGACCAATCAGAGCAGAGTAGACCAATCACAACAGACTGGACCATCTGACCAATCAGAGCAGAGTAGACCAATCACAACAGACTGGACCATCTGACCAATCAGAGCAGAGTAGACCAATCACAACAGACTGGACCATCTGACCAATCAGAGCAGAGTAGACCAATCACAACAGACTGGACCATTTGACCAATCAGAGAAAAGTAGACCAATGACAACAGACTGGGTCATCTGACCAATCAGAGCAGAGTAGACCAATCACAACAGAATGGACCAATTGACCAATCAGAGCAGAGTAGACCAATCACAACAACAGACTGGACCATCTGACCAATCAGAGCAGAGTAGACCAATCATAACAGACTGGACCATCTGACCAATCAGAGAAGAGTAGACCAATGACAACAGACTGGGTCATCTGACCAATCAGAGCAGAGTAGACCAATGACAACAGACTGGGTCATCTGACCAATCAGAGCAGAGTAGACCAATCACAACAGACTGGACCATTTGACCAATCAGAGCAGAGTAGACCAATCACAACAGACTGGACCATCTGACCAATCAGAGAAGAGTAGACCAATGACAACAGACTGGGCCATCTGACCAATCAGAGCAGAGTAAACCAATGACAACAGACTGGACCATCTGACCAATCAGAGCAGAGTAGACCAATCACAACAGACTGGGCCATCTGACCAATCAGAGCAGACTAGACCAATCACAACAGACTGGGCCATCTGACCAATCAGAGCAGAGTAGACCAATGACAGCACACTGGACCATCTGACCAATCAGAGAAGAGTAGACCAATCACAACAGACTGGGTAATTTTTTTGACATTTGATGCATGTAAACCTGTTGTAGGAGAATCCAAAACAAAATCAGGAGACTTTAAAGAAGCATATAGGGGCAATTTAATCAGTTAAAAGATTTGCATACCTAATTATCTACTACAATTCAAAGAATATCGTGATACATTTTTTGCTTGTATTATAAGTGAAAATAATGTGCAGTCACAGGTTATTAGGTAAAAAGGTTTTCCTTTGAAACTGAACATTGCTCATCTAGTTAGATCTTATATCCAATTAAACCGGGGCATCTCCAAAGCGCTTTCTCCCGTTCCCTGCATGTGTGCGTCCCTCTGATAAACCTCTGCTGCGTTGATGACTCGGCTATCTGCATGTTAACAAGCTCCCAGGGGCGGGGTGTGTGTGTGTGTAACCCCACAAGATTTATCAGCCGGACGCATTTTCCTCCACTGACGGCTAGACAAACACAAAGCAGAATCCCTCAGGGCCTGCAGAAATGCATTGTGGATAATGAAGCAAGTGCACGTGGGTCCAAGCAACATGACACAACAAGCTTTGATCATGTTCCTTCAGAGCCGTCTCCCCTTTCCCTGTACCTGTGGAGCTGACTCAGGCGCGAAACCAGTGTGTCAAACACTTCCTCGCAGAACACACCCCGACGCGACGCCTAACACACACTTCTATATTTGTGCTTCTGGAGAGATTAGCACATCATCACCTCTATGAATGGACAATGGCGCTGCCTATTAAAAGGGACGAAACTGCACTTTAAACTTTAGGAAAACTCATAAAACAAACATTCAAAAGGCCAGCCACAAGTGTGTACATTAATGAGCAGAGTTACCCATCAGCTGTGCTGCGTAATGATTAACGATTCAAACCCAGCAACGTACTGTTCTGCCTAGTTGTCATAGCAGAGAAGAGTGTGTTATTCCAGGAGGAATAGCTGTGGTGTTGTTTAACCTTTCTCATCCCGGTTTGCTGTTAGGAAAGGAACAGGGGTGAAGTTGGGGTTTCTCGGTTCTGTTACAAGCGTCTGACGAGTGTGAAGTTGTGACATCGGCCACAACACAGAACCACATTCACACTTCCTGTCTTCCTGTGCTGTAAGTGAGGCTATTTCTCGCTGTCACACACACAGGCTTAAACGACAGGGATTACATCACTGTCCTAGATCATCATACGCAGCTGACGCGCAGAGGCTAGCGATCAGGAGCGGACACTAGCACACCTTTAGGAGGCGGATTCCACGTTACACACAACATCACTAGACCAGGTGTGTATTAGAGATTTACAGATCAGTGATTAATCCATCACTTCAGTCACATATGAATAAGAAAACACATCAGCAAAATTAGTAAAATACTTCTATTCAACTACTATCCTCATTCCAAACATACAGTTGACTGGACAAACCGCTCTCGCAAATAATTACATTTTAGATACATTTTGTTTGTCCTATGAGTATGACAAACAAAAGCGCTATGTAAATGACTCATTCATTTCATGCACTTATAATTAAAACAATATATAATAATAATAATAATAATAAAAAATATATATATATATATGAAGAGTTTAGATGCAAAAGCCTCTAAATGCCATTTGAAATTTTCTTTTTTAATGATGATTTTTATCAAACTTGTATTTTTAAGTTCAGTAATTTCACTTAAATGGCAATGATAATTACCTATTAATTGTTATTTAAGTGAAATTACTGAACTTAAATATACAAGTTTGATAAAAAATCATCATTAAAGAAGAAAATTTCAAATGGCATTTAGAGGCTTTTGCATCTGAACTCTTCATATATATATATATATATACCAGAGCCCGACATTAAGCCAAATCGGTCATTCACCTGTCGGAGTAAAAATTAGCTTTTCGGGGGGGAAAAAGATGATTTTTTTTGTGTTGTAAATTTGTAAAAAATTTGTAGACAAATTTTATATCTGCATATTCATGACATTTTTACCTTTATTAAGCACATTTTTCCCCTAATCTTATTAAATTTATGCTTTATCTTTCATTTTCAATTCTTAAATTCAATAATCAATAAGTTTAATTAGAATAATAAGACGACACTAAATAATTGACACTAAATCATTTACATTCAATAATATCATGAGATTGAGTTATTACCATCAGCGTCGAAACATTATATATTATTATTCATTATCAATCGCCGCTTATTAAATGAATGCAGAATGTTATCAAGTTTGGACGTTTCACTAGTTATTTATTTGTTATTGGCGTTTTAATATAGGTAATTGACCGGTCGGGCAAGTCAAATTCTCTTCACTTGCCCCTTCAAAAAATAATGTTGAGCTCTGTGTAATAGATATATATATATATATATTAAATATAAGTTTTAAGTGTGAATGTCATGTAAAGACTAATGCTTGGAGGTTTCACCATCACAACTTGTCCTTGGTCTTTAAAAAGGACTGATATTAATTTAGTGATCAAATTTAGCACTTAGGAAATATGATGGAAAATAATTTAGGAAATATGATGATGATTTGTAATTATCATTTAAATCTGACTACTTTTCAAATAGTCATGAATCAAAATCTCTAGAGAATGTTATGGGGTTTCTTATCAAAATATGACTTTCTGTTATAAAACATTGGATTGATTTCATACATGAACACTGTAAGAAGACCAGCAACCACTAACAGCAGGTTTATCAGGCATTCTGGGAGACAAGTGAAATTATGTATCAATATTACTATCAAATATTAGATATCATTATGGAAATGTTACCAATTATTACTCCAATTATTACACTTCTTTTCTTCATTATATTTTCCCTCAAGAACACATTAACATGCAGATTAGATAAAGTAAATTGAATTGAATAGAAAACCCATGTATGGCCCATTTTACCCAGATATTGCATAAAGTAAAATATTACACATTCATTCCATTACATCATCTTTATACAAAGTTTGGTTAAAAAAAAATCTGAAACCTAAAAATTGATTGCTGAATGAAAAAAGAAAAAATCGTTTTTGTTATTGCCTACATGTAATTTCAAGTCTTTTTATTTGTTTAACAAATGAGTCCTGGTGTCACTATAGAGGATAGTACAACATATGAATAAAATTGTCCTTACGCTCTTAACAAATGTAATGACATAATAAATATAAATATTAAATAAATAAAAATTCCCCCTATGGGTTATTCATATACCATGGCATTTATAGCACTTTAATGAATTTAAAAGAGTGCCATGGTACATGGAGAAAGGCATTGCCTTTACATTACATGTCAACACCAACAAAAATATGGTAATATGATAGTAAGTTACTTTTAGCTAGTGTTTATATTAGGACTGAATAAAAACAGCAAGTGTGTCTTGAACTGACAGACACTAGTGTGAAGGTGTGCTAAAGATGATTCATGAGTGTATTAAAGTCTGAAAGCGGATTAGCCGATGATGAAGAAGATGATGATGATGGCCTGTCGTTACCTTTCCACACCAACTCACCTGCATTCCAGGAACTTGAACAGCTACCGGTGACTGAGCCATCTCCACCCGTCCACAGGCAAACTACACACCAGCAAACTCTCGCAGAGACTCTTACAGCTCGCTTCCTCACACTACTCCGTATTAAATTAGATATTTACACAATATTTACACTGTTCGCGAAACTCCTCGCGACGCCAAACTCTTGAGCTAGCTGCGCTCTGCTAGCTAATAAAGTCGACACTCGGTAACCATGATTCCTTCGTAAAGTGGACTTTTTTGTTGTTTATATTAGATCCAGACGGTCGTCGACGGCTTGTTAGGGGCTTTTGGTGAGAGTTTGTGCAGTTTGTTCTTCAGGAGATCTTCTTTGACGCCATGACTCGCGCTGCGCTCGCGAAAGTTGTTTTGTGCTTCAGTTCTGGCTGTTGGGTGGAGTCGCGCGCTCCAACCGCGCGCGCACACAGACACTGCGTCACTAATGCTAAGCTTTCGTCACACACATTTCTTCACATACACACACAGCGCGCGCGTTTGTTTCACTAGTGACTTCCATTGACTTTATAAATAAGGTTAATAATATGTTCTATGGCCTAATCCATAAACACAACCGTCAAGACAAGTTTGCACTTGTCATAAACAAATGTTTGGGTCAAATGTAGACAAATCCAGCGGTTGGATTTGTCCAAAGTTGACCCGAACCAATAAATATTTAGATTTTTTTGAGTGTATGGCAAGCGTATTTATCATTCATTACAGGGATTTTTTTAATATCAGGAATTACATTTCCACAAGTAAAAATATTAATTATTGATAAGCAA